CAATATTAATGTAGTTCACCTTCATATGGCTACATCCAAGAATTGAGAGAAAAATCATCATAGGCAGAGATTACAAGAGTTCAAAACAACCAATAGACAAACACTAACTGAGCCCCAACCAAACCCAATTACTATGCTCCTAATGCTTATCACATAGAACATCCCATTAACCGATGCTTTACCAAAACTTTTTCTAACATTCATAAAAAAAACCCATCTCCCGTACATGACCATAAGAATTATCTCTCTCATAATTCTATAGTTATTACTACTCCTATTAATAAAGCCTCTGACTTGATCACCAAAAAATCTTATTCGCTAAAATGTCTTGCCCGATATGAATATATAGATATTAAGTAAACTTAATCATTAATTTATCTCCAACCATAAAATACACTAGAATCTGAGCTGATTTTAGAATTTAGATAAATTCTAACATTTATTGAACTCTTTTTATGAATGATTATTTTTCGTATCAAGTTCAAAATTTCCAATTTTTCCATTTAGCATCTACTAAGGGAAACATATCGTATATAATGCCCTTGCTCTTTGTTCTGCTTAAAATACTCATCTTTGACACATATTCAGACATAATGCAAGGTATCATAGGCAAACCCAGGGTTATGCAGGGGCCCTTGGTTCCTTTAAACACTTAAATATAATAGTTATGGCGTGTTAAAAATACGAGTAAATCATATTTTGACTCCAAGAATATATAATTCAAACTCGGACATACAAGGTATGATCCTCCAAATACATGAACAAACTTACAAAAAAAAAATAAAAAATGAGCACACCATGTTGGACACATACCCAAATTAACCCTACAACTGGGATAGCTTATAGTGGTAGTAAAAGAATGAAAGTTACCTCATCATTTACGACTTTGGATTCAGCAGGATCAGTAGGCTTTGTTGTTTTTCTCTTCTTCTCTGCTCCAATGCCTTTTTTATTGTTCTTCACATGTGCTTTTACAGGCTCCAACCTACGCATGAAATTAAACAAAAACCATAAATCAGACGAAAAGAATATTTTAGAAGCATTTCTTCTTAGAATGAAGGAAAATAATTTAGAGTTTCAAAGAAGAATCAAACCTGCTAAGAAACACCAAGACCAGTGCCTTCTTTCCATCCATACTTCTTTAATAGCTGCCAAAAACCAAGTCCATAGCCATTAAAACACGAATATATATGGAAAAAAGTTGCAATAAAGACCCGAGAGTTGAAAGAGAGGAGAGAGGTTGAATACCTGGAAGCCGATGTTGGAGGAATCAATGGCGGTTGATGAACCGCTCGAACCTAAAGTTTCTCCCATCGTTTTCCACCCGTACCAGTGATTTCAGCAAATTGGAGTTCTCCCTTTTACCCCGTTTCTTCCCAATTCTGACCCGAAGTTGAGAATTGTGTAGGCTTTCGGAGAAGAAGAAGAAGAATATCCCGATTTATTTGCGTTGTGCGTTTGTTTTGTGGATTTAGGTCAACCCAGAAGCCGGAGTTCACTTAACAATAAGAATTTTTGCAGCTTCCAGATAAATAAAAGCCCATCGGCCCATTCAAAGAACTTTTATTGAAAATGTGACAGCTTTTCCTTCCGCTTTTAATGCTTTCGTTTTCAGGGAAACAATAAATTGGCGGCGTAGTTGACACCATTCATTGGAGTTGAACAATTTTTTTTTCGAACCCTTAAATCCTAAAGCCAACAGAATGTATAGAAAATCGGACGACACAAATTTGTGAAACCAATTCCATGGCCGCTTTCCCATTTCCTAACACTTCCTCTTTCACAAAATCTTCTTTTTCAAAGTCCGGTATCCATGAAAGGGTTCTTTTAGTTTCACTTACTTCCGGTAAAAACACCCTAGACACTTCCAACTACAGTACCCATATTACCCTCTGTGCTGGTTCAAATTCTTCACTTTGGACTGTCACCGACATAGCGGAAGCCGTCTGTGGTAGGTTGTAAATGGGGTCATCAAGGAACATTTGTACGGATACCAGAACCATTGAACCCGGCCAATGGTTCTTTGCCATTGCTGGTCAAAACTTCGACGCCCATGATTTTGAACCCTTGAATTATCCAGAAGTGGGTGCGTCGGGGTTATTGGAAATCGCGTTTGCGAGAATTGGGAAATGGGGTTCGTCCAGATTCACGGCGACACCGTGAGTTCATTGCTCAAAATGGCAATATTTGCTAGGAACAGGCTTCTTGGTAAAGTTATAGCAGTTACTGGAAGTGTGGGGAAAACTAGCACGAAGGCTATGGTAACTCTGGGTCTCGAGAGTTTGGGGAGTGAAGTATATCAGAGTTATGGGAACTGGAATAATAGGATAGGGGTTGCCTTGTCATTGATTGGGATTCCTAAGAATGTGGGGATGGCAGTCTTGGAGATGGGAATGGATCGAAGAGGAGAGATATTGGAATTGGCGAGGATGGGGAGGCCTGATATTAGAGTGATTCTTAATGTGGGAGCTTCTCATTTGTGAAACCTTGGTAGCTTGGAGGAAATTGCAATGGCTAAAGGGGAGATTCTGGAAGAAGCAAAGCCAGGAGATGTTTGTGTTTTGAATGCTGATGATCCTCTTGTCATGAGCCTTCCACTTCCTCCAGGAGTTACAAGGGTAAGATAGGCCTATATCCAGGGATTTAAATTGTGGTTGCCACTGTGTTCGGGAATGCTATTGCAGTCATTGCGGGAATAGCGGCCTATTATTGCCGCAATTGGCCGCTATCCACTAAATTGCAGCCGTGATCCACCACTATTAGTGTGATTCCGATTCACACGTCTATTTTTCGCAATAACGGTTTCGGATGCTGCTGCTATCATAATATGCTGGCTGTTATTCTGCTACTGCTATTTTAACTCCTGCCTATCTCATCATACTAATAGTGTTGTTCACAAAGCTACTTTTTTTTTATAAAAAAATTCAACAGTTCTTGTTCATGTTAAACTATTGGAAATTTGGAAAGATATAACATTTTACGTGTGAGGTTGTTGATTATGTTAGGTGCAGCATTAGTGATAAATTTGTTATTGAATTGGCATTGTCATTGTCTTATGCTTTCAAAATTCGAAGTAAGAGTCACACTGTATATGGTGCTAACACTTTGGCTCTCCCCCTCTACTTCTAGCAATTATTTACTGAATTTCGTTTCATTTAGCATGCTTTGAAATGGTTTCACGATAAAAAGGCGTTTAGGCTATGTCTTGGGAGTTGAGACTATCTAAGCTGTACTTTTTTTCCAGTGAAGTCAAACTTCCTAGTCATCAGAGTTGCTATGTTTTACCTACCATCTTGGTGTGCATTTACATTGAATTCGTTTTCTGGCCCTGCAATGTGACTTTTTCCTGTGCAACAGGTGCTTTTTGGTCGCAGCTTGGAGTGTGATGTTCGGCTGGTAGCAGCAGAAATCATTTGTGGTGGTCTTGGTGTTCGAGTTGTTTTGCAGAAAAATATGGAGATTTAAGTTTCTTGTAAGGCTCACTCGTTATTATAGTAGGTTTTCATAATGCACTCTTGTACCAAAGAGTAATTATACTGAGCAGATCCTTGCTGAACTATTTGGGGTGATTCTTGGTTGAAAACACCTTTGTCCACTGGACCTGCGCATCCAAACATAGCTTACATGGAATTCAGAAACCACTATTTAGGATAAGCTGATACCGGAAAACGTGACCATTTTTATTGTTCTTTTTAATATAAAATATAAATGAAAGAAACAAGTAGTCTCATTTTATGGTTGAAGTTTTGATGAGAAAGATTAGTTTCTTGCCCTGAAATCCACTTTTCAAAACTGAAGTGAATTGTCAGTGGGTGCCAAGGATTGCCCTTTACTTTCCCATATGTTCATTAGCACATTCAACGTGTTGGGCAAATCGTATTGGAAAGTAACGGAGAGAAAAAGTAAGAGAGGTGAGCTATACCATATTGGCAAATAAGTTGTAGGAGTAGTAATCATTTGTATGATCAATTGTAAAAATTGCCCACTTTTTTTCTCTGGATGAGCTGAATTCCGAATTGTTCCTCTTCCTGAACTTCTATTGCAAGTTTCTTATGATTTGATGCAGATGATATCCATGTTGAATTATGACTTGTGATTTCTTTTCCTTACAGTTTTTCCCTTAACTTTCCTTCTCAACAACCCTTTTATAAGACCGAAACTTGCAGAATGTTTAGGTTGTACTCTGTAGTTTGTGTTTATTTTCTTGTCTAGGATTGCATCCTTATTTTGATATTTCTCTCTTAGTTTCTTTTCTCATCATCCATCAGTCTCATATTTCTTTGTTTGATTTTTAACATAAATATAAACCACGTGAAGCTACTGAATTCATATCCAGGGTGGATTTTGTGATTCGTGGTCTGGGTCTGCATTTGGCTTTTAATGCATGTGCAGCAGCAGCAGTTGTAACCACTATCGGTGTACCCCTTTCTCAAGTTGGAAGATCCTTATCCAGATATTTCCTGTTAGCATGAGATCCGAGTTCATTGTAGCTAAAAGTGGCATCAAAATAGTGAATGATGTGTACAACGCCAATGCTGTTAGCACGAAAGCAGCCATCGACATGTTGCAAAGGATCGATTGCTATGGAAAAAGAGTTGCTATTCTTGGAGATATGTTAGGACTTGGTCCACTTGAGATAGAGTATCACGAGGAAATATTGAATTACTGTCTCGGTGCTCATATTGATGTAGTTGGCGTTGCTGGGAAGAGGTTTCATTTGGCAGCTGATAATATGAATTTAATGAAGAAGATGAAAACTGCACATGCAATTGATTCAGAAAATCTTGATCCCAAAATCTTGAAGTGCTTGAATATGAACGATGTCGTCTTGGTGAAGGGTAGCCGTGGCATGCAAATGGAGAAAGTTGTCGATGCACTTGTGGCAATGCCGAGACTCATTCCACCTTCATGTTTTGAGAATTGAGAATTGAGAACAGGTATAAAACTTATGATAAAAACAACGGATCAGGAACTAAACTCTGGCCAGTGTTAGTTGGAGAATGCGTCCAAGCGTGCCTCTGCCTCATGATTTAGTGTTCGACAACAAAAACGTCTCAGACCCTTTCGGACAAGGCACATATGATAGGTGTATTCCTCTTGTAAAAATATGTAACCGAAGTGCTTTTTGCATTGCCGGCAAGCCTGAAAGCCGGACAATCTTATTGCCACATAAACAACTTTGTTGGATTTATTGAAGATTCAGGATCCGACTCCTAACGGCATATTGTATTGTGATTTTTGAAGGTGACAAAACCGGCCTTCGTATTCTTTCATTGCTGTGTTTCTTTAATGTTAAGCAAAAGCTTTCACTAACGAAACAAAGTCTTGATCTTGCTGATCATGGGACATTGGAAAGTAGGCGAGGCAGTTGGTCCTACTGTCCACTCATTTCCACCACACCGTTACGATTTGAATATTTAAAAAGGAAAGATAAAAAAGAGTGCATTCCAGATAAGCACATGGATCACTTCGTCACTCCTTTCATCACATTTTCAACTCTCTCAATTTCGCTTTCCTCTCACGTCAGCTTTTGACTGATAACGAACATCATTATTAAGGGTGTAAATAAACATTTGATGAAATATTTGTGAATTGTTTGTTTATCTTCATTTATTAGGGTCCGTTTATTTAACGTACATTTTTTTTCGGAAAACGTTTGTTTTTATTTTTCAGTGTTTAATTGGAAGAAAACTGGTTGGTCAACGTAAAACATTTTTCTGATCAACAAAATTTCTTTTATGTCTTCTAGAAAATTACTTATGGTTTGATTTTCCGTAAATCATTTTCTGAACTTTTCATTTCAAAGAGTAAATACTCAAAATAATTTTATTTTATGAATTTAAAATTGATAAAATATTTTAATATTATTTTAATCAAAATATTAATTATTAAAATATTTAAATATATTTATTAATATTATAATAATATAATATTATATTTTTAATATTAATAAATAATCAATTATATTATAATAATATAAGATATTATATTTTATTTTAATAATATAATAAATATATAATAAATTTTATATTATTATTAATTTCATAGAAATAATATTATTAAATTATTGATAATGAATAATATTTTTATATATTAATAATATAATAATCTAATAATATTTAAATAAAGATATTTAAAATATACTAATAAATATTTTAAATATAATATAACACTATTACTTTAATAAATAGTTAATATAATTTATAATATTTATTTCAATAAAATATACCAATATTAATATTTTTATTAATAAATTATAAAAATAAAATTTTAATAATAAATAAATTATTTTAATATTTTAAAAATAATAATATCAAGTTTTATGATAAATAATATTATTTATTGTATTTAATATATGTAATAAATAATTTTTAAAAAATTCATCAACTAGTGGAAAAAGGGTTTAAACAACATCTTCCAAACATCGTAAAACGTTTCCAGAAAATATTTTTCAGAAAATATAATTCATTTTACTGAAAACATTTTTCGGAAAACGTTTTCAGTGAAACAATCAGACCCTTAAGCTAAACAAATAAGTATGAATAAAATTTTTATATTCATTTAGTAAACAAATGAATGTGAATAAAGATGTGTTTTGTTCGTTTATGTTCATTTATAAACTTGTTTACTCTATTCTCTTTTCCTTTTTTTTTTTGCATTTTAAATATTGATGAAGATATATATTGAACATAAGATGAATTTTAGAGATAAAACTGTGAAGTTTAAGGAGCTTAAGACCTAGTGACATAATTTCACCAACAAGTTCGCGAATGCTAAACAAACGTATTGGTAAATATATAAACGAATATATTCATGAACGTTAAACGAACTGAATACAAACACTTTAAAAAAAATATGAACACAATATTAAAAATTTTAAGGAATACGAACCAAATACAAATATTTTCAAAAATAAATAAATAAACACGAACACAACTTTATTAACCACAATGCCTGACATTAAACACAAGAAGAGGCAAGAAATTGTATGAATCGTAGATTTAGGAAATTTTAAACATTTTTAAACTGTTTAAATTTTCAAATCACCATCTTTAAATAATTTGAACCTGAAAAGTCATGCCTAAAAACATAAAAAGTTAGATGAAATGGTTTAAATTTTTTTCTCAAATGAGGTATGATATTTTATCTCACATGGTCTGTGTATGACTTGTCTAAGAAATTGATGCATCAGTGAGTCAGTTTCAAGTCACTGCATTTATCAAATTATATAACTTTTGGTTGGCAAATGGATATTCCCTTTATCTTAGCAGTAGACATCATGCCAACTCACAAAGTTTCAATCCCACGTCCTCTCCAGGTCTGTTTCCGTTAGCAGTTCAAATCAAAATATGAGGAATTTGGTTAGGTATTTAGTTCAAAATCAATTCTTGGAGTTGGACTCAACTTTCTTTTTCTTAAAGAAACCAAATCTTATCATCAATAAAGTTAGATCATTCAACCACTTCATTTAGATCACTTTAAATACCATTTGCCAATCTACAAAATTCTTCCATCGCCACAACCCATCGTCTCCTTGATATAACATCCATTCAACAAGATTCAATGAAAATGAAGAATCAGTTACTTGAGCAAGTTATCGGAGTTCCAATGAAATCAACCGTATATTGAGTCGAGAGATCCCCGAGACGATACTTACCTGATCCCGAAGGGTCTGCAACATTGAGAACAGGTAGGTTATGCTTGTAACATGTAATTTGTATGAAAAATTCATAACGGAGATGCTTTCAGTGCTAATGTGGAAGTTTTGGAGTTGCAGGCAAAGGGAATTTTGACCTTAAAAAGGATAAAAAAGCTAGGGAAGAAAGCTGATAGTTTCGCTCATGGAATCCGAAAGCATGGTAAGAAACACTCTTATGCCATCACTATAGTTAACTGTATTTATCATTCACATGTGGCAAAATGGAAGCTAAATTTGTTTGTTTGTTACTTTTGAAACTGCAGTGAGATTGGGGCCAAAGATGAGTGAAACAGTGAAGGGAAAATTGAGTTTGGGGGCAAGAATTCTTCAAGTGGGAGGTGTGGAGAAAATTTTCAAACAATTATTTAGTGTTACAGAAGGAGAGAAGCTGGTTAGGGCTTGCCAATGCTATTTATCGACAACATCAGGTCCTATTGCAGGCCTTCTTTTCATCTCCACTGCAAAGGTGGCCTTCTGCAGCGATAGATCCATTAAAATATCTTCCCCAAATGGAGAATCTCTCAGAGTGCATTACAAGGTTCTGATTCCAATCGAGAAAATAAAGGGAGTGAAAGAGAGTGAAAACGTGAAGAAACCAAGGCAGAAGTACATGGAAATCGTGACAGTCGACAGCTTCGATTTCTGGTTTATGGGTTTCTTGAATTACAAGAAAGCTTTCAAGTATCTTCAACAGGCAATCTCCCAAAGACTAGACGACGTACAAGTCACTTTCTAGGTGGCTTACGGTCACGAATATGTATCATCCGTCTTCATCATCTTGATGAAAGGAGGAAGAAAGGATCAGTCTTGGAAATGTAAAAAGTTTCTGTTGATTCAAATACACGATCCTCAATTCTTCAATCATGTTTAGGGGAAGGATACTAATTTGTTATGTGTTTGTAGGTTATTTGATTAACAAGTGGGGGGCATTCTTTGTTGTTTGGTTGCTAGTTACTCCGTTCAAGATGTTAATACATACTTTATTAATTGATTGATGATTTTTTGAAGGTACACAACTTTACTCTCATGGCCGAATTCAAATCGATAGAGATGGAAAGAGTAGTATACATGAAAAATTCATGTATCCAAGAAATAATAAACACAAGCTTTATGCATCATTTCGCAACGGTCCTTCGGGTGGTCTCGGGTTCTCATTCAGACTTGGAATCGTGATAGAGTCGCCACCGATCATTTTTGAATTAGGTAGATCAGACACATCGATTTTGCTCATTTATCGGATTTGCGTCTTACCTGTTGGAAGTCAAACCCAACATCTTGGAAGTATGTAGAAGCTTAATGAAGTGGAGCAATATAAGACACAAGTGCATGGCGACAATAAAAATATTATCACTTGAAAGATGAAATGCAACGTGGCAATGTGGAAAACAAATTATGGATGTCGGCAAGAAGATCCAACGTTGCAATTAAAATAGCAATATGTCTAGAAAAGTCTTGAAATCCTTGGCAATTAAGGAATTCAATCACAGTAAGGAATTATAAGGCGGCTAGAAGAATTTAGAAGCAAGTTCGAGGCGGTTTATTATATATATATATGGGTGTTTAGCTTAATATGGAACATGTAACATACGAGTGAAAGAAAAATATTAGAGAGAATTAAGAGAGAGCTTAGCAAAGCTATAAGGTGATTGTAAACTAGCCGCAACTAGTATTGTATTATTGAGGTAGTTCCGTTGTAACGTATTTTGTTTCATATCAATAATAGTTCGAATTATAGATTATCGAGAGCCCATCTATGCTTCCAACAAGTGGCCTAAGAGCTTGGTTCAAGTTTAACGTGGTGGAGAAGATAGCCAACATGATTCAACCACAAATCCCGAGATTGAAAAAGACAAATTATGGCAATTAGAACATTCAAATGAAGGCGTTACTAGGCTCCCAAGATTGTTGGGATATCATCGAGGATGGTTACACCGAGCCTGAAAATGCAGCAGCAGAAGCAGCCCTGGCCAATGAAGAAAAGAAGGTATTGAAGGAATCCCGGGAAAAACCGGGAAAAAGACAAAAGTGCGTTGTTCTTTATTTTTCAAGGAGTGGACGAATCTACCTTTGAAAATTTTTTGATGCGAAGACCGCAAAACAATCTACAAGGTGCCGAAAAAGCAAAGAAGGTAATCTTACAAACTCTCAGAGCTGAGTTTGAGATGTTAAAAATGAAAAATACAGAAACCATCAATGATTATATTAGCCGTGTGAAAGCGGCCGTGAATGAAATGAAAAGAAATGGTGAATCACTTTACGATGTTAAAGTGATGGAAAAATTTGGTGGTCATTAATAAGAAAATTCGATTATATGGTTATGACAATCGAAGAATCAAAAGATTTATCCCAAATATCAATCGGTGAGCTTGTGGGTTCACTTCAAGCCCATGAGCAGAAAATAAAACAAAATGAAGATTTTGAAAATTTGGAGCAAGCTCTACAAAGCAAGATGAATGTCAACGAATGAGAAGCTAGCAGCAGCTACACACGAGGTCGAGGAAATCGTGGTGGTTATCGTGGAATATACAGAGGAGGACGAGGAACTCGTGGACGTGGTGGTCGATCATATATCATCGATCAAATAAGTGAAAACAATCCAATATCAGGCTGTAGACGAGGATTCAGAAGTCGAGGCCGAGGTAGAGGCATATATCAACAAGAAAATAAATCCCAGGTACAATGTTATAATTACAATAAGCATGGTCATTATAGTTATGAGTGTAGATCTGATCCTAAACAAGAAAAAAGAAATATTGTAGCAGCAGCTGAAGAAGAAAAAAAATGAAAAATCTCATGTATTCCTCACTTATAAAGGAAATGAAGAATTCAAGAAAAATATTTGGTAACTTGATAATTATGCCAACAACCATATGTGTGGTCAATGGGAACTGTTTGTGAAATTAGATGAAACAGTCCATGGGCGAGTAACTTTCGGAGATGACTCACACGCAGAACTAAAAGGAAAAGGCGAAGTCATGATTACTCAGAGAAATGGAGAAAATAAATACATTTCAGATGTTTATTATGTACCTACTTTGAATAGCAATATCATCAGTCTTGGTCAACTCCTGGAAAAATGATATGAAGTGCATATGAAGAATCCCTCGCTTGCCATAAAAAATAAAGAAGGAGAATTGATTGCCCAAGTTGATATGACTCGAAATCATCTCTTTACAATTGATATCGATTCGGGAGAAGTCAAGTGCATGAAGACCGCGATCAAAGATGATTCATGGCTATGACATCTAAGAAATAGACATCTTGGATTTTTTTGGATTGAAGTTGTTATAAAAAACAAGAATGGTGAAAGGACTACCAGAGATCAACCCTTCAAATCAATTATGTGAGGCTTGCATCAAAGGAAATCAACATAGACAAAGTGTTGAAAACATTTTGATGTTTCGATATAACAAATTAAGTATAAATGAATTTTAAGATTTTACAAATGATTTTCTAAGTATGTTCGATTTAATTACTCGAATATCAAAATATTACTCCAAGTATTTCAAAGATCAAATTCAATATTTACTAAAGTGTAAAATTGTGTTGTAATCTTAAAATATTTTTGAAACAATTTTCACAAAGTATTTCGAACAAAAAATGAGCCTAAAATCAAATTTTCAAAAGAGTGTACCGATGCACCAATCCATGCATCGATGCACCATTGAATAAATTGAACATCGAATGCATTATATGCATCGATGCATATACCATGCATCGATGCACTCATATTTTTATGAAAACATCGAATGCATTTTATGCATCGATGCACAAGCCATGCATCGATACACTCGGGCTTGTTTGAAACATTGAATGCACTTTATGCATCGATGCACTAAGGGTCCAACGGTTGAAATATTTGAATTTTACACATAGTGTACCGATGCACTAGCCTTATGCATCGATGCACCAGACGCTCCCAACTGTTTTATTAATTGTTTTCACACTTAAACGACTCTATTGACTCCACTAATCATCCCCAACATTCAGAATCAATTGAAGGAGTATTTAAACAAGCTTAGAAGCCATTGATCAATAACAATTAATAAGAATTGAGAGAGAATCAAAGAGAAAGCATCAAACTCATTGTTTGAGCAATTCAAGCCTATTTTTCATTCAATATTCATTGTGCTTTCAAGAACACCATTTGTGCTCTATTGTATTTATCCTTGAGTGTTCTTTCTTTGTTCTGGAATTGTGCAAACAATCTACCTTGTGAGGGTTTCCTTGTAAGTTTATAAATTTGTGTATTTCTCTTTGAAAAAGAGTGTACTCAAGAATTTGGGGTATAATTCTTGAGGGAGTTGTAAGGTTACTCTTTGTCCTCAAAAGAAAGAACAAATTAGTGAATTTGTTTGAAAATCCTTAGTGTGGATAGCTAAGGTAGTAGACGTAGACTTTGGTTGAGAAAGTCGGACCACTCTAAATCGCTGTAAAATTAATTTCAATTTTCTGCAAAAGCTTCCACCAAAATTTTAATTGCCAATTCACCCCCTCTTGGCCAATTCCATCAATCGATTAACTCAATAATTTGTATCAAAGCCTTACTCATTTGAAGGTTTAATCGTCTCTTGAGTTGATTCGAGAAGAGTTACATCGATAATCAAGTCATCAATGGCCTCCACTTCAAACTTCGACTTCGGTCTCGATTCGATGCCCGTCAACAAGCCTCCTTTCTTCAATGGAGCTAACTATGCCTATTGGAAGAATAGAATGATGTATTTCATTCAAGCAAGTGACATGGGAGCATGGAATGTTGTAGAAGATGAATATATCAAGCCTCTTACTCATCCAAGATTGTGGAGTGAAGGAGAGACAAGAATGTTCCAACTCAGCTCTAAAGTCATTCATATCATATTTTGTGCTCTTGGACTAGATGAATACGGAAGAGTTTTCATCTTGTACAACCGCCAAAGAAATATGGGATAAACTACAAGTCACTCATGAAGGAACGGACGAGGTAAAAGAATCTAAAATTAGTCTTCTAACACATAGCTATGAAAATTTCAGGATGAAACCAAATGAAGATATCAAAGCTATGACGGATAGATTCTCAACGATTGTCAATGGTCTCAAATCATATGGAGAGATCATTCCAAACAAAAAGCTTGTGAGGAAGTTAGTTTACTCACTTCCAAAATCGTGGCAATCAAAGAAGACGGCAATCATCGAGGCTAAGAACCTAAAGTCCTTAACTCTTGAAGAGCTAATTGGTTCTCTCCTCACTCATGAAATGATGCTTGAAGATGAGGTGGACCTCGATAAGATTGACGAGACACCAAATGAGAAGGAGAATAAGAAGAACGTGGGAGTTGTTATAAAATCAACAAAAGATGAGGGTGATTCGGATGAAGATGATGATGACAAGGAGATGGCATTGTTTGCCAAACGGTTCAGAAAAATGATGAGGCCAAATCGAGGAAGAAAATTCAAACGAAATGAAGGCTTCAAGAATGAACCAAAAGAAAAAAGACCCGATCATTTGCTATGAATGCAAAAAACCGGGGCATGTCAAATATGACGGCCCATAATTAAAGAGAAAGGGTCAATCAAAGAATAAGCACAAGGCTCACGTGGCTACATGGAGCGATGAAGAAGTTTTCGATGAAGAGGAACAAGAAGTAGCAAATTTGTTCTTGATGGTATTGGGGGAAGATTCTAAGGTAACCTCTAACTTATTTGATTTAGATGATTTATCTTATGATGAGTTATTAGAGGAATATAATGGGTTGGCTTCGGATTATGAGAAATTGTTTTTAAAATACAAAAATGATATTTCAAAATTGAAAAATAAAAATAATCTCATATAAAAGACCAACAATGATCTTGAAAGTAAAATCAAAGATTTACAAATCAAACTAGAAGAGTTTGAAAAGAAAAATACTGATTTGCAAAATTTATTTTCAAGAGTCAATGATGACCATCAAAAGGAAATTGATGATCTTAAAGCTTCTTTCGATAAAGTTGGATCAAAACGTTTTGAAAAAGGAGAAAATTTAAAAACCAACTTTGTTAGAAAAAGTTTTAGAAACTACAATCATAGAGGTCCCTGAAGAATCTCTAATGCAAAGATCGTTAGAAGTATATGGGTTCATAAAGAACTCATTACTACTAAAGATAAGGATATCCTACACAAATGGATACCTAAGGGGACTAGGATTTTGGAAACTAATGAATATGGACCCAAAAGAATTTGGGTACCAAAAATAAAAAATTAATCTATGTTTGTAGGAAAAGGAGCATTGCTACAAGGCATGGGAAACAAACTCAAACTCATGGTACCTTGATAGTGGATGCTCAAGACACATGACCAGAGACAAAAGTCGGTTCATAGAGCTCAACGCCAAAAATGGAGGAGATGTGACTTTTGGTGATAACTCAAAAGGTCACATTAAAGGTATAGGCACTATAGGTAATACCTCTTCCATAAAAATTAAGAATGTTTTATATGTGAATGGATTAAAGCATAATCTTTTGAGTATTAGTCAATTTTGTGATAAGGGATTCAATGTCATGTTTGAAACTAATGGTTGTAAAGTTATTGACATTGCATCTAATCATATTATGTTTGTTGGTCATAGAATAGGAAAGGACGACCAAGGCGGAAGTGGGATGACTGCTTGAGATCTGATTTGATGGATTTAGGCCTTACCGAAGACATGACCTATGATAGGAAATTATGGAGGCTTAAGACTAGG